CCTTCAGAAAGACCAAGTCCTGGCCCCTCGCTCCTGGCAGTAACCTCCAAGCTGCTGGGCTGTCCTGCGGTAGAGTATCTGTGAACCTGGCTTTGGCCCACACCACCACGTCCACGTGAGCAGTGATACGGCCGTGGGCTTGGGATACAGGGTGTCGGCGCACCTCCTGCAGAGCCGCACTCGGTCAGCCCGATGGAGATGGGGTGTCTGTGTGACAGACGCCAACAAAAACCCGGGCAGCAGGCCTTGGGAGAGCTTCTCTAACCGTCAACGCTCCACGCATGCTGCTGCGTGTCACCCATCTTCATGTGCTGGGGTGGAGATGGTGACATTTTTTTAAAGACTGAGTCATTTTAGTGATCATGGGAAGCCGTTAGTCACAAGCAGCCTCCGACGCCGCGTGACACACACACGGCTGCTCTGTGTCTGTGCAGTACTTACGCTGGTGAGCAGGTGCTTCAGATGGCCGTTGAGAGAGGGACCGACGACAACACTTAGCTGCACCAGGGCGTCCAGTCCTCTCTCAAACACTGCGTCGTCTGAATGCACCTGTTGGGTAGATGGGTGGGTGGGTTGGTCAGGGGTATAGGAGCAGCAGGAGAAAGAGGAGAATAAGAAAAGAAGGATGAGTTAGGTCTAAGGACACACAGGTGTATAAAAATGTAAGTTTAAACATTTGAAAATAGAAGATAATCATAAAATTCATTCTAAAAAGAATCTTTAATGTAAGACAACTAGAAACCAAAACTGAATTTCCACCTGACTATTTAGCATCCTATTAGTTATCCTATTAACCATAACTGAAATACATGTACGGGACCAGCAGGTGGCGTGGTGGTTAAGGAGCTGGACACTCCCACATGACCAACCATGGTTTGAGTCCCAGACCTGGTGACTTGCTTTCTCACTCTCTCTCTCTGCCTCTCTCTGGTCAAATTAAAATATGCGAATGAATAAGTAAAATTAAATAAATAATTCTTAAAGAAAAAAACGACATGGAGCATACAGAAGGACCGTTGGGGCTCATTACTCCCGCAACCACTCACACTGCCCCTCTGTGGCCTCGAGCGCGTCCTCACGTACATGGTCCTCTGGCTCCAAATGACAACAGCCTGATGCTTCACGCACAGCGAGGCCACAGACTGCCCTCGACCATCTGGAGCGTATACTCTAACCATTCTAAACACGCTGAGTCGTCACAGCCTCTCCTCTAACCGGAGTCTGAGACGGAAGGTTGGGCGACGCGTGACGTACCAGAGCGGCCCTGAGCACAGGAACGAGCCTAGGGAGCAGCGGCACGGCCTTCTCAGGGGCGCCCCTGACCAAGAGCAGCTCGCGGAAGCCCTCCTTGGACACGAAGGTGTAGGGGTGTCTGGTCTCTCTCAGACCCTGCCAGGAAAAGCACCTCAGTCAGTGCACTGCCGGCTTTGTTAGGCTCAGAGCCTAAGTGAAAAGCTACTGTGTGGTCATCATCTTCCTATTCACGCATACACATAATTTTCTCCATTACAACCTAAATTATACTGAGAAACTGGAACGGGAGAAGGTTCTATCAACAGAATAGAAAGAAGGAGAAAAGAGAAAAATAGTAAGAAAAAGACCCATGAATGGGAGAAGAAAAGCAGAGGCAAGGAACAGTAAGGGAAATACAGACCAAGACAGTAGGAAGGAGGGCCATTGGGCTATGAGGACGGGGACGGCAGGTAAAAGGAGAGACGAGAACTCACAGGGTACAGAGAACATTCTGAATGAGCTTGCAACGCTGACAGAAGCACAGCAGACCCATCTGAAACGGCTGTTTTTAACACCCTCAGAGGGCATGCCTGTCGGACCCCCTTGCCTTTGTACTGGTTTTACAACTAGTTTAAGGAACTTCTAAAACAGATCTCCTTCACCTTTAAATATTTATATGTATTTACAAGGCGAATCTCTTCACTATAAGCCAAAAGCACTATTCGACGTTAGATATAATCTTTCACTAAATTAGCATTCAAAGTAAAACATTTTTAAAAAAATGTGTAGTGGGACCAGCAGATGGCATAATGGTTTTGATGCTGGGCTCCCACATTAACTGACTGTGGTTTGAGTCCCAGATCCAGCAGCTTCAAACTCATGCCGGGCGTGTGTGCATGCGTGCCCAAAATCCTGAGAGGAGGGATTTCAGCACGGCCATCCCCAGGGGGCTGACTTCTCACTCTCGGTCTCACAGTCACTCTAGCGACCACATGTGCCCATTGCTAAAATGTCTCTTAAAATAAATCAATTTGAAAAAAGGAAAAAAAGCAAAGCAAAACTTCAGTCTGAATAACCGTCTGTGAAGTAAGTATAACAACCATTGAGAAATCATGCTTAGAAATGGGAATTCTCAACTCATCTGTTCTTTAGACCAGGGTCCCCAACAACGGGGCCACGGGTCCTGATGGCCTTAATGCCTACCACTTGGCTCTTTTTGTGAAAGTCCAAAGGAGATTTTATGAAAGCTGCAAAATAACGTCTAATGAAATTTTAAAACATTTTTCCCCCATCAACATTCAGGAGCGATATTTACCTCAGCCAAAGTAATAAGAAGAGGATCGAATGGAAGACTTTCAGGAGGGCACTCCCACTGTAACCTGTGTTTCACGGAGCCATGCACCAGCCTGGAACAGGAATGGCAGCGGATGTGACAGAGAATGGAACCGTGCACCCAGCAGTGGCCCTCTAGCATACGCACTCTTCCTATAACCACGTGGATTTATCCAACCTGCAGGAATACCATGACTTTAAAGACATTACAAGCCACTTTTACAAAGCAAGTCTTGCAACCCTATGAACGCCTGCTCTTCCAGAGCACTGCCGTGTAGCCAGGGTTTGAGAAGCTGTAGGGCTAACGCATCTTATCTGTGAACCTTAACGCAAATGTTGCAGCCGATGTCTTACAGTCAGCATCATGATAAAATAAGTAACATATGGAGACAAAACAAAATGTTGTACCTAATTAGTGTTCCATAGAGAACACTGCTCTTCAGGTACAGATCACGGAATTCTGACAATACTTTGAGGGTAAATCAGGTTTTATCCCGAGTGAAGACAAAAGGAAATCAGAATGAAATGACCCAAGCATGGTAGCGGGCCTGACCTGGGGTCTGCTGCTGCCTGTCCTCCCTGAGGCCCAGCAGGGGTGCACGGTAGCAGGCCTGACCTGGGGTCGGCTGCCGCCTGTCCTACCTGGGGCCCAGCAGGGGTGCACGGTAGCAGGCCTGCCCTGGGGTCGGCTGCCGCCTGTCCTACCTGGGGCCCAGCAGGGGTGCACGGTAGCAGGCCTGCCCTGGGGTCTGCTGCTGCCTGTCCTCCCTGAGGCCCAGCCTGCAGGTTCACAGTACGCTGGGTGAGGTCAGCTGCATGAACGTACCCAAGGAGCCGAACTCAGCCATGACAGTGAACCCTAGCATCACCCCCAGGAAAGGGTCTCAATTTCTCAACTGCCTCTTGAAGAATGAGTGAGAGGCCTCTGTAACTCTACCTTCACGTTTTTAGCAACAATAAATTGCATGAGGGTGGATGAGTAAAAAAACTTTTAAACAACCTGGAATCTAAAGATGAGATAGTAATAAAAATAAACTGAAAATTGCTTCTTGAGCTTAGATTTCATGCCAAATCTGAAAATGCCACTAAAAACTACATTCTTGAATTCTAGAACAAAACAACTGGTGCTGTAATTATTCTTTCTACAATGACAATAAAATGTTCTATTATCTAGAATAAGCTAAAATTGAAATACACTATGAACAAAAAAATGATTCTTATGATAATCTTAAAATACCACAGAACTGGGACCAGCAGACGATTACGTCACTGGACTCCCACGTAGTAGACCATGGTTCAAGTACTGGATCCAGTGGCTCCAAACTCACACTGGGCTCGTGTGCGTGCGTGCCTGAAATTCTGAGAGGAGAATGGAGGAGAAGGGATTGAGGCGTGACCATCCCCCCTGGGGGGTGATTTCTCACTTTCTGTCTCTCTGTCTTCAGTGAATGCACGGGCCCTATAGGAAAAATCCCTCAACAACAACAAAAAATCACAGTATTAGTAATCTATATATTTTTTAAAACAGTTTTTACATCTTTCCAGAAAGATACAGAATTCTATCCAAAAGACAGTAAAAGCACCATACGTACTTTTTTTTTTGGGGGGGGGGGGGGGTTTTCCTTAAGGGGGGGGGGGCCCCCCAAGCAAA